TGGGGACACCCCAAAACCCCACTGGGGACACCCCCGAAACCCCACTGGGGACACCTCAAAACCCGACTGGGGACACCTCAAAACCGGGCTGGGGACACCCCCAAACTGGGCTGGGGACGCCTCAAAACCCCAGGGATGGGGGCACTGGGTGACCCCAAAACCCCTGGGTGAAGGCACCAGGTCACCCCAAAACTCCGGGTTGGGGACACAGGGACAGCTTGGGGGCACTGGGTGACCCCAAAACCCCTGGGCTGGGGACATGGGGACACCGGGTCACCCCAAAAGCCCGGAGCAGGGCTGGGGACACAGGGACAGCTTGGGGACATGGGGACACCGGGTCACCCCAAAAGCCCGGAGCAGGGCTGGGGACACGGGGACAGCTTGGGGACAGGGGCCATGCCCGGGGTGGTCCCTGGAGGGTGCTGGCCCCAGAGGGGACACGCACAAAGTGCCACGTGGCAAACCCAAGGTGACAAAGGGCAGCTCCAGGGGTCACTCAGTGTCCCCCTGCCACGTCACCCCCCTCAGGTGTCACCACCCCCACCCGCACAGCAGCCCTGGGGACCTCCCACTCCCCCGGTGTCCCCTCCCGGTGTCCCCGGTGTCCCCACGCACCCCCATAGTAATACTGATCCACCGTCTTGAGCCAGCCCACGTCGTCGTGCGAGTGCGGCACCAGGTGCACGTTCAGCATGTCCGGCCGGGTCGGGGGGCACGACTGGGGGGGTTCGGGGGGGCTCGGACCGGGCCGGGCCCGCGGCACCCCCCGGAACCCCCCGGGATCCCCCCCGGCGTGGCCGTTGAGCTCCGGAAGCGGTTGCACAACCAATGCTCCCAGTTCCCGTTTCTTCAGCCGTCCCCAGGCCGTCCCAGCGCTCCCAGTTCGCCCAGTTCCCGTTCCCCTCAGACCGCCCCGGTTCCCCCCTCAGCGCTTCCCGGTGTCCCCAGCCTATGGCAGCGCCCGTTATCCAGCCCCCACCGCCTGGCCCATGTCGCCGGGCAGTCCCGGTGCCCCCAGCCCGGGTGTCCCGGGTGTCCCGGTCCCACCTGGTACCCGCAGCCCGCGGCCGCCCCGCTCAGGAGCAGCAGCAGCGGCAGCGCCGCCGTCCCGGGCACCGCCATGACACCCGCGCTCACGTGACCGCGCCCTCACATGACACGCGGGATCGCCCCGCCCCTCAGTGTGCGGCAGCCAATGGGTGCCTGGGAAGAGGGGCTGTGGTCACTCCCCGCGTTCTGATTCGCTGATGCCGCTCTAAGGGGCGGAGCGTAAGGAGGGCAGGACGGGGCCGACAACATACGGGAGCCAATGAGGAGGAGGAGAGGGCATGATTGACAGCTCGCTGGGAGGGCGTTTGCAACGGCGGGAAACGACCAGTGGCCAATGAACAGCGGCGGCTCCCCAGGCCCCGCCCACGACGAGTCCCCCTCAGAGCCCCCTCAGAGCTCTTAAATCCTCTCAGACCATCCGAGTCCCCTCAGAACCCTCTTAAAGCCCTCTCACAGCCCCCTCAAACCCTCTGAGCCCTCTCGGAGTTCCTGAATCTCCTCATAGCCTGCTCAGAGCCCCATAAGAGTTCCCCCAGAGTCCCCTCAGACCTTCCGAATCCCCTCACAGCCCCCTCAGACTCTCAGAGCCCCCTCAGAGTCCCCTAAGACCCTCAGAGAGCCTCAGACCTCCCAAATCCCCTCAGAGTCCCCTCAGAGCTTCTCAGAACCCCCTCAGAGACCCTTAGGACCCTCAGAACTCCCTCAGAGCCCTTCAGTCAACCCAAGTCCTCTCAGAGTCCGCTGAAAGCCCCTCAAACCCTCCAGGACTCCCCCTCCCCATTCCCCCTCTCCCGGGGATCTCCCCCATGCCCCGTTCAGGTACAAACAAACCACAGCAGTGCCAGGACCCCCCCATTTTATTGCCCCCCATGGGGACCCCCCGACCCCGTCACCACGGCGGGGACATGGGCTGGGGGTTCTGCAGGTACGACATGACCACGGCCGAGATGGAGAGCCTGCGAGGGGCACACACAGGTGTCAGAGACCCCCAAAACCAGCCCGGGACTGCCACCCAGGGACCCCCGGCACTCACATGAAGCTGCTCATCATCTGCTTGGTGTCCTCGGAGCTGCGCGAGTTGGCGAAGCTGATGAAGGAGCAGTAAACGGCGATCCAGGCGCACCACTTGAGCTGGGGAGTGCCAGGAAAAACCCATGAGAGCCCCGGGAAAAACCCATGAGACCCCCGGGAAAAACCCATAAGACCCCGGGAAAAACCCGTGAGACCCCCGGGAAAAACCCGTGAGACCCCTGAGGGAGCAGCAGGGATGGGGCCTGAGACCCCCGGAGAGCCCAGAGACCCCCGGGATGGGGCCTGAGACCCCCGGGATGGGCAGGAGAGCCCAGAGACCTCCGGGATGGGGCCTGAGACCCCCGGGATGGGCAGGAGAGCCCAGAGACCTCCGGGGATGGGGCCTGAGACCCGAGGACCCCGCGGGGATGGGGCCTGAGACCCCCGAGGGCCCGGCGGGGATGGGGCCTGAGACCCCCGGGGATGGCCCCGAGCCCCTCAGGGGCTCTCTCTGATCGTCTCGCCCCCAAATTCCCCTCAGAACAGCGCCCGGGGCCCGTTCCGGCGACGATCCCGGTGCCCATCCCGGTTCCCATCCCGGTGCCCATCCCGGTGCCGATCCCCGTCCCGATCCCGGTTCCCAGCCCGGTGTCCCCGGTGCCGCACCTTGAGCATGAGCCCGCACATGCTGAACACCATCCCCAGCAGGTTCATGTAGTCGGGGGTCGGGTCTTCCAGCGCCGGGTTGGTTTCGGTGGCCGGGGGTTTGTACCTGGCGGAAAACGGGGGCTCCGTCAGGCGGGCCGGGGCACCGGGACCCCGGGGATCCCTCCCCGGTTCCGTCGGTCCCTCCTCTGCCGGTGCCGCCGGTCCCACCTGGCCACTTTGCCGGGTCTCCGCGGGTCCGCCATGGCCCCGCCGCTGCTGCCACCGCCTCTTCCGCCGCCCCCGCCGGAAGGAGCCCGGCCCCCGGTGCCGGCCCCGGTTCCGCCCCCGGTGCCGGCTCCGGTCCCGCCATGGCGTTCCCGAGGCCGCGGCCCGCCCGGCCCGAGCTGCCCCGGCAGCGGGTGCAGAGCCTGCAGTGCGGGCAGGGAGCGGTGCGGGCCGCCCGCTTCAACGGTGAGACCGGGGGGACCGAGGGGGAAACGGGGCGGGGGAAGAGAGCAGGAGCCGGGGATGGAGATTGGGGAGCGGGCAGGGAGTGCCGGTATGGGGATCCCGGGATCACCCGGTGTCCGGGGCAGGGAGTTCTGGGGATCACCCGGTGTCCAGTGTGGGGGTCCCGGTGCTCACGGCCGTTCCCCCCGGCAGCGGACGGCAATTACTGCCTGACGTGCGGCAGCGACAAAACGCTGAAGCTCTGGAACCCGCACAAGGGCACAGCCCTGCGCACCTACCAGGGCCACGGCTACGAGGTGCTGGACGCGGCGGGGTAAGGAGGGGCTTCGGGGACCCCTCCCCACCTCGGGGAACCCCCCAACAGCCGCTCTCACGGGACGGGACCCCCCCCGCAGATCCTTCGACAACAGCCAGATCTGCTCCGGCGGCGCCGACAAAGCCGTGGCGCTCTGGGACGTGAGCACGGGGCAGGTGGTCCGCAAGTACCGGGGACACGCCGGGGTGAGGAGGGGGTCTGGGGGTGGGATTTGGGGAGGGGGATTTGGGATCCCGCGTGTGGATCGAGGTCCTGATTTCCCTGTTCCTCCCACAGAAGGTAAACTGCGTCCAGTTCAACGAGGAAGCCACAGTCATTGTGTCCGGTGAGGGAGTGGTTTGGGGGGCACCCTGCACACCTCTGCACCCCCTTTTCCCACCCTAACACCCCATTTTCCCACCCTGCACCCCCATTTTCCCACCCTGCAACCCCCATTTTCCCACCCTGAACCCCCTTTTTCCCATCCTGAACCCCCTTTTTCCCCCCCTGAACCCCGTTTTTTCCCCCAGGCTCCATCGACTCCACGGTGCGCTGCTGGGACTGCCGCTCCCGGCGCCCCGACCCCATCCAGGTGCTGGACGAGGCCAAGGACGGCATCTCCAGCGTGAAGCTCTCGGCCCACGAGATCCTGACGGGGTGAGGAACGAGCCCCCCACCAACCGGGGCACCCCCAGAATTGGGGGGGGACCCCCTAAACCTCCCCCGTGGCCTCCCCACAGCTCCGTGGACGGGCGGGTCCGGCGCTACGACCTCCGCACGGGGCAGCTCTGCTCCGACTACATCGGCAGTGAGTGGGGCTGGGGTGGGCTCCCAAAGCTTGGGGGGGCTCCCAAAGCTTGGGGGGGCTCGGAGGGACCCCCCCAAACCCCCCGTGTGCCCCCCAGGCCCCATCACCAGCGTGTGCTTCAGCAAGGACGGGCAATGCGTGCTGGCCGCCAGCCTGGACTCCACGCTGAGGCTGCTGGACAAGGACACCGGGGAGCTGCTGGGCGAGTATGGGACCCCCCCCAAAGAGTCCCTGAGCCCCACAGGGGCTTTGAGAGACCCGCGGGGGCTTTGGGGGACCCCCGTGTGAGCCCCCTTCCCCTGCCCAGGTACAAGGGGCACCGCAGCACCACGTACAGGCTGGACTGCGTGCTCAACGAGCTGGACACGCACGTGGGCTGCGCCTCCGAGGACGGCCACGTCTACTTCTGGGACCTGCTGGAGGTGAGGGAGGGTCCCCGGGGGGGCTTTGGGGACACTCCCGAGCCCCCCTGACCCCTCTGGTGTCCCCTCAGGGTTCTCTGGCGCTCAGCCTGCCCGTGGGCCAGGGCGTGGTGCAGTCCTTGGCCTTCCACCCCAGCCTGCCCTGCCTGCTGGTGGCCACCCAGGGCCAGGTGACGCTGTGGCGCGAGGACACCTTCCAGCCCGAGGGGGACCCCGACACCTGAGGGGGTCTGGGGGGTCCCCAACACCTGACAGGGCCCGGGGGGACCCCGGTGACACGAGGAATAAACCCCCATGGAGACCCTGCCGTGCTTTATTGGGAGCTCGAATAAATAAACGCAGGCATGGAGGGGAGGGGGACAGAGGGACACACGGACAGGGGGTGCAGGAGTGGGGGGGGAGCCCCCACTGTCCCCCACCTTCCTGAGGGGGTCAGGGGGGCTCCACACACCCAAGGCTGAGCTTGGGGGGGGTCCCTTGGGGGTCCCTCCTGAGGGTCCCTCATGCCCTGGGGGTCCCCAGGCCTCGGGGGTCCCTCCTGGGGGTCCCTCAAGCCTCGGGGGTCCCTCACACCTCGGGGGTCCCCGCAGGCGCCCCGAAGGCGTCAGCGCTCCGGGCGAACGTCTCGGCCACGAGCAGCGGGAACACGAGCGAGGCGTCGGCGTAAACCTGGCCCAGAGCAGCGGGGTCAGGGGGGAAAACCCCGACCTTGGGGCTTCCCCAAATCCCCCTCCCGAGCCCCCCAGGACCCCCCCACCTTAACGGGGGTGGCGTCCATGCGGATCTTGCCCCAGGACACGGCCTCGTCCGGGCCGCGCGCCCGAGTCGGAGCCGTCGAACTCCTGCGCCGTGTTGACGTAGACGGAGAAATCAGCGCCGTTCCTCTGCCCGGGGCACACAGCCGGGGTGAGCCCCCAGCCCCTCCTCACCTCGGGGGGCTCCCCAAGCCCCCTCCCCAGCGCGGGGACCCCCTCACCATGAGGTTGGCGTTGGCGATGTGGTGCTTGACCAGGCCCCCGCCCAGGATGATCATGCCGGTCTTTGTGGGCGAAGATGGCCTGGGTGTTGATGAGGCGCAGGTCTGCGGGCACAGGGGGGGTCAGGGCACCCCAAATCCTGGGGGGGCACCCCGGGGGGATGGACACTGACCCTCCACGATGTCCAGCACCAGCCCCGGGCGTTTGTAGGAGTGGAAGAAGATCATGTCCCCAAGGGAGCCGTCGGTGAGCGCGGGCTCAGCACCGGGATGTTGTTCTGCAGGGAGGGGAGGGGAGGGGGGGGACACGGTGACAAACGGTGACAGCCACGGTGAGACCCCCCCCCCAGCAGTGCCCCCAGTACCTTCTGGGCCCAGTAACAGATGGACTCGGGGTTGTTGATCTCCTTGCCCAGCCGGGCGATCATCCGGGACGGCGTCCACCGCACGCCCTGGGGGGACCCGGCTCAGGAGGGGCCTCAGGGACCCCCAAATCCCCATCCTGAGTGTCCAGGGACCCCCGAAGGGCCCCTCCCAGCACTGTGGGGTCCCACGTTGGGGTCTCCCCACCCTCACCTGCGTGTCCTGCTCGTCCACCATCGTGTCCAGGATGGGCATCAGCCAATCCTCGAACTTGCAATAGTTATCGTTGGGCACCAGCAGGTTCCCGATCCTGAGGGACAACAAAGTGACCCCAAAGTGACCCTGAGGTGTCCCCAAGGTGTCCCCCAAGGCCCCCAGTCCCCCAACCCCGGACCTGTTGATGCCGTTCTCCCGCAGGTCCCGGCCCCGCAGGTGGAAGTCCCCGATGTAGGTGGGGGCCAGGCACTTGATCAGGTCCTCCTCGACCCCCCCGGCCGTGGTCACCAGCACGTCCACCTGTCCAAGGGGGGGTCAGCACCTCAGGGACCCCCCAGCTGTGACCCCCTGACCCTCACAAGGACCCTGGGGACACCCCAAGGAACAGCAGGACAGCATCACTACCCGATGTCCCCACACCATTGTCGCTGTCCCCCACCCATCCCTGTGCCATTCTCAGGTGTCCCCACGCTGTCCCCCTGTCCCCCGGCTGTCACCATGCCGTTCTGCACGAGGTATCGGATGCTCTCCCTGACGCCGGAGCTGACGAGGTTGGAGGTGAAGCCCAGGAAGATGGTGCAGCCCGAGGGCGCCCGCGGCCCGGCCATGGCCGCTCGCTCCCGCTGCTTCCGCGCTCAGCGGCTCCAGCTTGGCCGCGATCTGCGAGGAAGCGACACCGAGGGGGTCACACCGGGCCGGGACCCCTCCTCACCCTCCCGGTGTGAGCCCAACCCCGCCCCACACCGGGGCCGCACCATCCGCTCGATCTCCGCCACGGCCTGCGCGAAGCTCGTGGCCTGGAAGCCGGTGGTGCGGAAGGAGCGGAGCAGCGCCGCGTGGTCCGCGCCGCCCGAGAAGTCGTAACCGCGCACCGGGAGGGCCTCGGCCGGGAGGGCCCCGCTGGGCCGTAGCACGGCCCGGAGCGCCTCTCCCGGCGCCTCTCCCGGCGCCGCCATGGCTCGGCCGGGCCGCTCAGGGCGCCGCCATCTTGGGCCACGCCCCCTGCGCCGTACGGCTGCGCGCTCCTCCCGCCTGTTCCGTACGGCTGCGCGCCGCCATCTTGCTCGGCCCTCCCGCCCACCTATTCCGTACGCCTGCGCGCCGCCATCTTGGCGGGACGGCGGCCGTGGAGGGACAAGAAAGCCCAGGACGCGAAAACGAGCCGTTGCACCGAGGGAGCCCCCGAAACGGCCGCAGCGCCCTAAAACCACCAAATTCGCTCCAAACCCGCCCAAATTCGCCCCAAACCCGTAGGGGGGGACACAAGCTCCTCTCCAGTCCAATCCTTTAATACCCACGAACAGGCGGCAGCTTCCAGCCCCACCCAGGTCCCCGGATTCGGGCCCGGCCCGCCCGGAGTGGGGGGCGCAGGGGGGGACCCCGCGGGGCGCGGTCGGAGCCCCCCCTGATCCCCCCTTGCCGGTGTCAGTCCGGAGCCTCCACACCTCGACCGAGAGTCCCCCCGAGGCCGCAGCCCACCACGTCTCCATCCACGCTGATCTGGGGGAGGCAGAGGAGCGCCAGTGGGGCTGGGGGGGCACCCCGGGGGAGGCTGCGTGTGCACACGCGTGTGCAAGGGCTGGGGACGGCTCCTCACCCCGTTGAGGACATCGTCGTGCGTCCAGGAGCAGATGGTGCGGGGCGGATCCGTGGGCACGTGGATCTGCAGGAGAGGCAGAGCTGGGGGGTCAGCAGGAAGTCCCCAGGGACCCCCCCTCGAGCCCCCCCCCCAGCCCGGCCCCGCGGGACCCCCCACCCGCAGCGTCCTGTCCGTGGATGTGGTGTAGAGGCGAGCCCAGCGAGTGCCAGAGCCCCGTGATCTGCAGCCGGTTGCCCCACGTCGAAGTACTGCAGGCAAGGGGAATGGACAGAAACCCCAGGTGAGCCCCGGAGGAGGGATCCTGCCCCTCGGGACCCCCCCAGAACCCCCCAGAATCCCTACCCGGGCGGGCTGGAAGCTGCCGCTGCCGCTGCCGAACAGATAAACCCGGCCCTGGTTGTCACCAGCCCAGAGCTGCGAGCCCCGGTAGGACATGGACAGCAGGTAATTGTCCAGCTGAGGAGGAGGAGGAGGAGGATGAAGACACAGGCCTGGATGTCACCTCAGAGGGGACAGGGACACTGTGAGTGGGGGGATTGGAGCACAGCCCCCACCTGCAGGCGCTGGCGCACGGAGCCGGCGCGGCGATCGAACACCACGAGCGTCCGGTCCTCGCTGCCCGACACGATCAGGCGCTCGTCAGCCGCCAGAGACAGCACCGCGCTGGCGTGGGGCTTGTAACTGCTCACCTGGGCCTGCCCGGCTGGGGAGGGGGGCGTGGGAGGGGTCAGGGGGAACCCCCCAGACCCCCCGGCCCTGCCCAAACCCACCCCAGGTACCTCGCGGGTCGTACACGGTCACCGTCTTGTCGTAGGTGCCGGTGACGAGGACGTCGGGGCGGTACGAGAGGCACAGCACGGCTGCCTTCTCCCTGGGGGAGGGGAGGGGGGTCAGGGGGGGTTCAGGTGGGTTTAGGGGACCCCCCAGCACCCCCCCGGGCCGTACCGGATCTCCCCGAACTGCTGCCCCTCGGCCGCCAGGTCCCAGAGCTTCACGGTGCTGTCCCAGGAGCCGGAGCAGACCCGGGCGTCCCTCGCGGCCAAGCACCACACCCAGCCCTGGGGAGGGGGGCACACAGAGGGGGCTGCCAGACCCTGAACCCCCCCCTCAAGGGGTTTATTTGGGGGGTGGGGGTCGGCTCCATGCCCACCTTGTGGGTTCCGCTGCGCCCCGAGCCCAGAGCTTTGACCAGGACCTTCCCGGGGGGGCCCCGGCCCAGCTCCCGCAGGTCCCACAGGTTCACGTTGCGGTCGCGCCCCCCCGAGACGCACAGGGAGCCCCCCTGAAATGGGGAGGAGGCACGGATGAGCTGGGGAGACCCCCCCAGGAGATCCCCCCCTAATTTTTGGGGCGTTTCCCCCCCATTTTCAGCCCATTTTTGTGGCGTTTCCCCCCGTTTTTTGGCCATTCCCCCCATTTTTGGGGGCGTTTTTCCCCCCCATTTTCGGGTCCTTTCCCCCATTTTTGGTACATTTCCACCATTTTTGTGCCATTTCCCCTCCAATTCTGGGCCGTTTCCCCCCATTTTTGGGGATATTTTTTCCCCCCCATTTTTGCGCCATTTCCCTCCCCCATTTTTTGGCTGTTTCCCCCAGTTTCCCCCCCCCCCATTTTTGGGGTTCCCACCTGCAGCAGCAGCACGGAGTCCACGGAGGCAAAGTGCCCCTCGTCCAGGGAGAAATGCTCCATGGGGGCCCCCCCGGCCCCCCAGCGCTCCAGGTGCTCCTCCAGGTCCTCACAGGGCGGCCGCCCAATCGAAGCCATCCTCTGGGGGGGGCCCCAAATTATGGGAGGGGGCCCCCAAAATCATTCGGGGAGGTCTCAGACCCCATCCCAGGGAGCCCCCATAGGGGTGTGTTCAAGCCAAGCTGGGGTTTGGGGGGGTCTGGGGGTCCCCAAAGTGCTGGGGGAGCCCTCAGGGGTCTCAAAACACGGGTGGGACCCACAAAAATCAAGGTGGGGACCCCTAAACTACGCGTGGGCCCCCAAACCGGGGGGGGTTTCAGCTTCAGAGCGGGGTGGGGGGCACGGAGGGGTCCCGGGGGGGCATGGAGGGGTCCCGGGGCGCCCCCAGACCCACCTGGCAGCACGGGCAGGGGGCGGCGGGCGCGGCGCTGGAGCCGGAGCCGCCAGAGCACCGCGTCCCGGGCCAGGTCCCGCAGGGCTCGGCAGACGCGGGGCAGCACCCGGCGCACGTCCCGGGCCCGCAGGAAGCCGCAGATTCCGCAGCAGCAGCTCCGGTGGGAGCGCCAGGAGCCCCCCCGGGCCCCCCGCGCCCGCCGCCGGCCCCGGGGGCTCCGCGGGAGCAGCGGCGGCGGCGGGCGCGGGGGGCCCGTCCATGGCTGCGGAGGGGGCGGTGGGTCAGCAGCGAGCGCTGCTCCCCGTCCCCGGTACCGGGACAGCACCGGTGCTGCCCCACCCGCACCCCCCGGGATCCGCCCAAACCGGAACCGCCCGCCGCCAATCCCCGGTGGTACCGGGGGTTCCTCATCCGGCTCCTCGCGGTAACCGGGAGCCGCCCCGGCACCGCCCCCGCTCGCCCCCTCCCCACCCACCTCCCCCTCCCTCGGTACCGGGTCCGGCCCCGCCGCGTCCCGGTCGCTACGGCCACGGCGGGAGCCACTTCCGGCGCGCCGCGCGAATCAGCCAATGGCGATGCAAGCGTCTCATGACGTCATCGGGCGGCGCCGGAAGTGAGCCGCGTGCGGTAATGGCGGCACCCACGGACCCTCCCGAGCCCTCCCCGGTTCTTTCCCCGCCCCGTCCCCCGGTAACAAACGACACGGACACAGCGCGCACGGTCCACAACGGCCTTTTCTTGGTGCCGCCCGGCGCGACACCAGCGGGTCCTGCCCTCCCCCCTCCCCCCGCCACACCCTCCCCTCCCCTCCCCCGATCCCCGCCCTTGGAAACGGTAAAAAAAACGAACGGAAACGGGAACGGGCACGGGCACGGGCACGGGGAAATAAACCAGACACGCGGGACGCGGCACCGACTCGCTCACGACGAAGCACAACGGCTGCGGCTCGGCCCCCTCCCCCACCCCCACCCGGGGCTCGCGCGGGGGAGGGGCGGGTGGGGGAGGGGGACACCGGGGACACCGGGGGGACACACACGGGAACGGGCCCCTCCCCCACCCTCTTTGGCCCCTCCAGCCCCGATTGTTTCGCCCCCTCCCCTCCCCCAGCGCGGTTCGGGGGGAGCCCCCACCCCCTCCCCGCCCCTCCCCCCCAAAATTCCTTTGGGGGTCAAAGGTCAAACTCCTCTTGGGGACCCCTCCCCCCTCCCGGTACCGGGACCCCCCCCCGGGGGCACCGCGGGGCCGCTCTGGGTCCGTCCCGGTGAGCTCCAACCTGGGGAGTAAGGGAAACACAATTAGGGATTTTTGGGGATTTTTGGGGGATTTTTGGGAGGGGGGGTTGAGGTTTTTGGGCATCATTTTGCGTTTTTTTAGGGTTTAATGGGGTTTTTTTGGGGGGGGGGGTTTGGTGGGTTTTTTTTGCCATTTTTGGGGGTTTTTTGGGTTCTCCCACCCTCACCTGTCCCAGGTGTGTCACACCTGTCACAGCCCGTAGAATGCCCCTGTCCCAGGTGTCCCATACCTGTCCCAGCTGTGTCCCAGGTGTGTCCCAGGTGTGTCCCCAGTGTCCCATACCTGTCCCTCACCTGTCCCAAGTGTCCCACACCTGTCACAGCCGTAGAAACGCCCCTGTCCCAGGTGTGTCCCAGTGTCCCCCTCACCTGTCCCAGCTGTGTACCAGTGTCCCATACCTGTCCCTCACCTGTCCCAGGTGTGTCCCAGTGTCCCATACCTGTCCCAGGTGTGTCCCAGGTGTGTCCAGTGTCCCCCTCACCTGTCACACCTGTCCCTCACCTGTCCCAGGTGTGTCACACCTGTCACAGCCCGTAGAACGCCCCTGTCCCAGCTGTGTCCCAGCTGTGTCCCAGTGTCCCATACCTGTCCCTACACCTGTCCCAGGTGTGTCACACCTGTCACAGCCCGTAGAACGCCCCTGTCCCAGGTGTGTCCCAGCTGTGTCCCAGTGTCCCATACCTGTCCCTCACCTGTCCCAGGTGTGTCACACCTGTCACAGCCCGTAGAACGCCCCTGTCCCAGGTGTCCCATACCTGTCCCAGCTGTGTCCCAGCTGTGTCCCAGTGTCCCCTCACCTGTCCCAGGTGTGTCACACCTGTCACAGCCCGTAGAACGCCGCCAGCCGCTCCTTGAGCAGGGGCGGGAACTGCTCCGAGAAATGGGCCCAGTTCCCCTCCCCCACCTGCGCCTTGAACCCGTGCAGGATCTGCGGGGGGGGGAGGGGGCAACGGTCAGGGGGAGGGGCAGGGAGGCCCCGCCCCAAAGCAACATTTAAAAAAAATTATAATAAATAAAATAGAAATAAATATAAATTATACATATGTCATATATATTATATATAATAATTATACATATGTCATATATAATATATATTATATATGTCATATATATTATATATATTTTATATATTATATATATTATATATATAAATCACATATATTATATATAAATATAATATATATATTTATACATTCATATAAATATAGAAATATAAATATATAAAAATAAATTATAATAACCTAATAAATATATAATATAATAACTAATAAATATACAAATATGCAAAAAATAAAAATTACATAACTCTAAACTATATATTACATATAACTTATATATTATAAATAAATATAATATATA